GCTAAGTGCTGTACATACAAAGAACTAAGAGACAATCAGAGGGTAGAGATGGATGGCAGGAGAGAGATCACTTATAATCTCTTCCCCAAATAGGAACTAAGTTAGGTGTGTAGGCCCAGATGATCTCAGGAATTGAAAAAGGTTATTTGGGACTTTACTGGGAGGACCAGTTGCACTGGTGCAACTGAAACACTAGAGCAGTGGTTCTCAAACTTTTTTTTTCTTCATGGACCACTTGAAAATTGCTGAGGGTCTCGGCAGACCACTTAATGATATTTTCCAAATGTCTTTTGTACCGTTCGCTAACTATTGTAAAGGGTTTTGGATAAAAGCGCTATATAAAAGAAACCTTAATAATAATTAACATTTTTTGTTCTACAAATAAAAGCACACAACTCATATTTTAATATCACTAGTCTTACCTTTCTAATGCAATGGATGTGCCCTCTCTCCCCCACCATGGCAGCCCCTGAGCTGGGGCTGGGAAGGAGGGCTGTCTCTCCCCGGCAGCCGCAGCCCTGGACCTCGGGAAAGTCACCTCTTTCTCTGGCCACCGCAGCCCTGCACATCCCAAATTCCCCCCACCCCCTCTTCTCACCCCACTGCCCCCTCCCACCTACCCCCTATTCCCCTCAAGGCCACCACCTCACCTTACATGTGTGTCTTCTCCAGGGTCCAGACACCTAATTAGTGCCTGTGTGTCTCCACTAATTAGGTGGGAGGCCCTTCATTCTCTTGTGTGCGGCTGCCCAGGCGTGCACCTTAGAGGGAACTATCTGTGGACCACCTGCATGGAGCTCACGAACCACAGTTTGAGAACCTCTGCACTAGAGCAACAAGACAGAGGAACGAGAGTGCAGAATGACCCAGTAGAGGATACAATATACTGAGTCTTGCTTTAATCAAGTGCAAGTACTGTGTGTGGGCAAAAGGTGTTACAAGCAGGGGAAGTATTTGCAGTGGAAAATCCTCTGGTCGGTAGTAGAGACTACCGCATGGGTTACGTCAGGGTCTCAAACTCCCAGCCCGCAGGCCATCTGCAGCCCATGAACCTCCCCAATGTGGGCTGCGGGGCTCCAGCAGTTTTGGGGCCAGGTCTCTCCCTTGGCCCCACCTGCCGCCCTTGGGCGCTCCCCCCTCAGGGGTCCCGGCAGCGCAGCGGAGCTGAGCGGCATCTTCCTGCTCGCTCCAGAGGCTGCTGGCCCCTCCCTGCGGCCCAGGGGAGGGGCGGGACTGTGCCTCCGTACGCTGCCCCTGCCCCAAGTGCCCCTGTGGCCAATGGGATGCTGCGGGGACGGTGCCTGGGGGCAGAAGCGTGCCTTGGAGCCCCTGCTCCGCCTTGGAGCCCCAGGTAAGCGTCGCACCCCCGACCTTCTCCCAGAGCCTGCACCCCCACCCCCTCCTCACATACCCTCTCCCACCCCCAAACTTCCTCCCAGAGCCTGCACTCCAGACCCCCTCCCCCACCCAAACTCCCTCCCAGAGCCCAACCTTTCACCCCTTCTGCACCCAAACTCCCTCCCAGAGCCTGCACCCCAATCCCCTACTGCAGACCTCCTCCCCCACCCAAACTCCATCCCAGAGCCTTAGGCAGGTGGGGGGTGGAGTTTTGGGGGGGGCATGAGTGACATTGGCCCGCTGGGAGGATTGGAGGACTGGCACTGGCCCTAAGGTAAATTGAGTTTGAGACCCCTGTGTTAAGTGTTAGTATGTATGTTTTGAATTAAAAATCCCCTTTAATAAGGAAATGTTGAAAACGTTCTGAAGAAAAAGTAATCAACTGACCATTGTCTGTAAAAATTATTCCTTATTATTTCCTTACATTTTAACTATCCCAGTTTATTCACTGCATTTTCTCTAGTGGTACAGGTCTATTAACGATAAGTATGATAGTAAAGGTAACTTTACTCTTTTGTTAATTCTTAAGGATGTATAATGAATGTTAATGAAACTAGGTCATTTTCAAGTGCAACAGTGAAGTGCATACCCAAGGAATTAACATATGAGTGACAAGAACAGCCTGGATCGTTGGATCATTTCTCTCAAAGAGATCAGTTATGATTTAGTTGCTAGTAAAACTGGAACACTTACTTTCTATCCTATATGTCAAAGAATGTATGAAACATAATGGCACATTCTAGCGAATGATACGTTAATTTCCACTACACCAGCAGTTGGTGGAGCTGGAACAATGTGAAATTGTGTGTTTCCTCTTTATTAAACAATGAATCTTAGTGAGGTTCCCGCATATTTCTGTTAGTTATTTCTCTGCCATTCGCTTATTTAGATTGTAGGCCCCCCAGAGAAGGAAAATTATCTTCTCACTTGTCCATATGTATAGTGCCAAACACTTTTAAAAAAACCAAAAAAGTTAGACATCTGGGGTGAAATATGGACACCGCTGAATTCAGTGGCAAACCTCCTGTTGACTTCAATGGGGCCAGGATTTCACTTTGTTTATGTGAATGAGTGTACTGTAATCAGAATACAATTTGTTAGCTTTGCTATAACTTGACACTGTTAGAAGAGGCTGTTGATAACTAGGGAGTGCACTTTATGTTTATTCTAATATATTATTGGGATTTTAAAATCTATGTTGGTTCTCCTAATTAGCTATGTCATTTGACCTATTAATGACGTGTTGATTTGTGCTGTCCCAGGCAGTAGATTGCACAAACTTATGTTTCATCAAAATGTTCTGAAAATTAAAATATTCCATTAGAATTTATCATGATTTGGCATTTGAATGATCTATTTAAAATAATGACTGAAATGTTATGCATCTTGATAATTGGATTAATTCTCTCCCATCCCCAGTTGTAGCTCTCTCTATATTTACTTCTTTCATGACTCATTTTCTTTTAAGGTTCAGATGGTAACAGCAGAGAAATGGTAACATAACATCTTTGCAAACAGTTCAAATATGAAACCTGCTTGCATGATTCTAGCCAAATTTTATAGAGCAGCAGGTGGTGTGGGTAAAGTGCCTCTAGGCAGGAGCACAGATTGACTCTTCTTTTGCATCTGCCACCTTGAACTATAAAGAAAAAAAATGAGTCAGAAAATAACCCAATGGTGATCCAAAATCATTTATCATTATCTCATACAATATACTTAAGATTAAGGTTTATGTACACTTGCAAAATTTGCCATCTGGTAATTTGTTTACGCTAAACTACAAATCAACTTGGGCACCCCTATAATAACATTAATTTGAGATAAAAATGTTAACCTGGAAAACAAGTAGATTGTTCTTTGAAAACCATTTTTTTCCAGTTGGAGTTAGTTTTTTATTTCCTAATACATTATGTGACTGAATAAATTATTCTGTGCATTTACACATAACACATGTGGTTTAATCTATTTCCAAGGACTGCTCAGTTAAATAATTTGATTATAAAAACATCTCTTTTCTAATCAAAATCTGCCTAGATAATCTAATCAGTTCTAATTACTGACTCACTTGTTCAGAAGCTGACCTCTGTGCTACCATGTAGGAGACTTGGCTTCAAAGCAATTTCAAAATGTTCACTCCCTAGGCAAAAGTAAGCAAAGTCCATGCAATCCTTCAGGTTTTGCATGGTGTTGGAATAACAGCCAGGTAGTATGGAATGAGGACAGGAGGTGAAAAATGGGCTAAAATGAAAGCTTGGGTAAACAACCTAGGACCTTCTGTCATTGAAAACTGGAAGGCAGCAGTAGAGGTTCTGTCCGGAAAAAATAAAGTAGTGGATTGCTGCCAGAAATTAGCAGCAGACCTTTTGTGATGCTGGCCTCCAACATTACCAATTGGTACAGTACTTGCCATTCAGTACTTATGCCTTTTAGCACAAAAACAAATATTAATTATTGCTAAAATATTTTTATAAAAAAATATATTGCTAAAATATTTTTCTAAAAAACACTAATTACTGTGCATGTGATATACAAGAACTTTTGCCATAACTGGGAGATGAAGTATTATTTACCTTAGCCATTTCACAGGTAATGGGGAGGGGGGGAACCCAGAAAGATTAAAGGATTTGTCCAAACTAGTACAAGAAGGGGAGGGATAGCTCAGTGGTTTGAGCATTGACCTGCTAAACCCAGGGTTGTGAGTTCAATCTTTGAAGGGGCCACTTAGGGATCTGGAGCAAAAAAATCAGTACTTGGTCCTGCTAGTGAAGGCAGGGGGCTGGACTCAACCCTTCCAGCTCTATGACATAGGTATATCTCCATATATTATTATTAAATCTGTCAAACTGGGAATTGAACCATGCTCTCCTGATTCCCAGCGCAGTGGGTCAAATAAAAGTCGGTGCTCCAATAAACAAAAACATGACCCTACCAGCTCAACACCTAAATGCAAGCTTACGTTAGTACATTGTTTGTGTTTTCAAGTAAGGAAGAAATGTATTCAGAGGACATTGTGGTTGTATACACAAATCTTTAAGCAATAGTTGTAAAAATTATGAAAAATACATTTAATGAGTACATTTAATGAAATCCGTGTAAATTATAGTGATGCTGAAAATGTGGAGAGGACCCATTCATTGTACACAGAACTGAACATTAGATTACTTGAATAAAACCAGAGCCAGTTATGTTATGATACTAACAGAGATTTAAGTATTCAATGAATATGTGACATTCAGGACAACAATAGCATGTGAAAAGCTTCATAAGATCCAGTAAAAGTATAATAGTCAACAATTACTGTGCTTAAAGGTCACCTCCTTTTTTTGCTTTAGGCTATTGACATATTTGAAAATTCATCTGTTGAGATGTTTATTGCCAAGAATATAGTTTTAAAACAATTGTATGTTGTCTGGTCCTTTGAAATATGTCAAATTTCATAGAGACTAGATATTTCAGTAAGTGTAGTTCCTCCTGGAACGTAACAGAGAACTAATGTATTTATTCAGTCAGAAAGATGAAAAGCCATAAAGGGGGATATTTCAAAAACTATAGCAAACACCCAAGAATGCTGTTCATTTTCCTACATATGTTTTATATTTCAGAACAAGATTATTTTAGACCCTATGACTTTCAGTGAGGCCAGATTCAGACCATCTCTCGAAGAGAGGTTGGAGAGTATTATCAGTGGAGCAGCACTGATGGCTGACTCTTCATGCACACGTGATGACCGCCGAGAGAGAATTGTTGCTGAGTGCAATGCTGTACGACAGGCCCTCCAGGACCTACTTAGCGAATATATGAATAATGTAAGTGATCTGCTCTTTTTAGTCTTTTCCTCCTCTATGGATTGTTAAGCAGTTCTATGACTATTCTGCAGTGCCTACATGCTTAGTAAAACTGATGATCCTAAATAGCAACAGTTCAAGAAAATCAAGGCAGTCACTTAAAATCCTTTGGTGGTATTCAACATTTTGGGGTTTGAGATCGTTTTATAGCAGTTTGTTACAAATAATTATACATTTTGCTCTGAAAAGGAATGCCCCCGATTGTAAGATTCCCTCACCCTACTGCAGAATAAGAGACTACCGCGTTCTGCATCAGTGATTTGTTTCATTTTAACAAAAAGGTAGTCCACACAACTTTTAAATATTTCCAGTGAGCCCAAACACTTTTGTGAAACTTGTATAAAACTGCTGGTTGGTAAGCAAAGAGGAAACGTGGATATGTCAAATTAATATATCCTAGATACTATTTTTGTAAAAGAAAATGAGTACAGTCAATTTCTAGCATTATTCATTGTTGTAGGGAAATAGTCACTTAGTGTTTTATTCAGATGTATGCACAGAAGTTCGCATGAAGTAGCTCTAAGTTTGCATGTGGGAGGATGTAGTTAAACCACGAAGATTCTTATTTGCTAACAGTGTAATTGGAGCTATTAACTGGAAGTGTGCAGATTCTCTGAATCTGTTCAGTATTATCTATCATTATTACAGTGCACATAATGAAATGTTTTTAAAATATCTTAAATACATCAGTCACCACAGTGTAGACATACAGTACCGTTTGCTTTATGTGTATGATCTCCTAAATGATAAACATCCTCTGCTTTACAGTGCCTATATATATATGTATATAATATCTCCAAAATTATTTGTGGATATTCTGCACTATTGTTACTAGACCCATCCATCATCGTGAGGCTGTGATATATGCAGTGAGGTCATATCCAGTCAATAACCATTTTTGATATTACAACTTAATTCCTGGAAATATTGTCAGAACCAGTTGTTCTCTCAAAATATGGTGGTAGTCACTTCAAGCAGATAATGGTGATGCCCATGTCTCTCCATGGGCTCCTAGACATCTGTGTTTAAGGATATTACAGGGTTTCAAACCCATTTCTCCTTTTTTGCACATACAATATGTGATTGGAAATATTTCCAAATGAGTATTTCCACATTTAGGGTATCCAAATATGTTTACCAGTGCGAGTGTTCTACTCCATGCTTCATTTTTCATCTGCTGGTAATATTAGAGTTTAAGTAAACACACTGACATATTTTGATCCTGTTTTTTCCAAGTCTCCAATTCCCATAAATGTTGAAAACTAACATTCAAGGATTGAGTGTTTTTACTATTATTTCTAATTGCAAGACTGATAATATGCAATATCAAACCAGTGAAAGTATTCAATCTTCTAGTTGCTTTATTGTATACCTGAGACAACTAGAATTTATTTCTTAAATTGTTTATATTTTCTTTTTACTGTTCAGTAAAATGGTGTTGGCTTCAAGGAAAAGCTATTTCCCCAGTCTAGAATTACAAAACAGAAATTGTTTGCTGTTTTTTAAGGTGACAGTTGATATGTTCTTTCGGTGCAAATGACAGCAAAGCTGATGTTTTTTTATCTTGAGGTGAAAGCCGTAAAGAGAGTGAATTAAAGAACAGGTGATGATGATGTGAAATATAGCTTTTTGGATTGCTGTCTGTAGAATCTTGTCTCACAGAATTATTACTTTTAGGTGTAAGCTCTAAAAGGTCTCTACAAAGATCGTTCCAAAACTGATGGATTGTTGTATCCTGTTTCTTGGTAGTGCCTCTTTTTATGTACCATGCTTCGTGATAGCAAAATGAATTTGTCCTTGCTTCAGAAACATTACTTATTTTATTTCTGACACCACTTTCAGATAAGGCAAAAGAATCTTTATAGTTTAAATGACAGCATACATTTATGACCGTGCAGAGGATGGGTTAATGTAGTTTCAGGGTTTCTCTTAGAATGCATAGTGGAGCAGTGTTCTGTTTTACACTTTATATATGGTGTTTAAGTAACTGAGTTGATGGGTATTTGACCATCTTTATATTTCTATTATTCTAATAGCAGTCTAATTAGATCTAAGATCCATAATTCCCAATTCTATTTCTCTTCATGTTTCATATGGAATATAACCAAATCAGTTTAACAGTTCATGTATAAGTATCTTCTTCTTAATAAATTAATGTTTAGTTTGAGGTATAGTATTTCAAATTTTAAAAATAAATATTTCATGTAATAACACTCTAGTTTTTGTTTGTTTGTTTTTTTTAACATTTGTGTCTACCAGCATGGCTTCTATTTTCGTTTTTAACCCCTGTCTTGATAAGAGGACATGGGATTTTCAGTAATGAGAAGCAAGGGCTTTACAACTGCCAAAGATTTCACTTGCAAAATTCCCAAAAGCTTGGTAGATTTGTTGCAAGGTAAAACTAAATCGGATTGCGATAAGGCATGACTTGGAACAACTGACAGCCTGATCAAGAGATGGCCAGACTGTAAGAGTGTATTGTTCCCGGTTAGTACCGAGATACATTTGCAGAGCTGTCCGAAGGAAACTTGTTTAACATCTGCCCAGAATGCCTTTAACCAGTGCTATCTGTCCCTCATTTTAAATTTACTCATACATTGTTTTGATTAAAGAAAAAGAGGTAATGGGAAAAAATGAAAATTTGTGGCTAATAATGAGTCCTAAAATGTGCACACTCCTTTGATACTTTTAATTAAAAATACAGTTATTTTATGACCGTAATGTATGCCAATATTTCAGCGAGACTGTACATTGCAATTGCAATACTATTATTATTTTCTTGCCTATTCAAATGTTAATAGCTCTCCTCAACCTAAAATCACCTTCCCCTCCACTTATCCTCTTCAGTGATCTAGGGCAAGGGAGACTCACTCTTCATCTACAAGTTGTTTTTTGTTTCATATTGTTTAAAGAAGAGTCCTGATTCTCAACTCCCTTGCACTAAGTTAAGCATTTACACCTGTGCATAGTGAGTACAAAGTGGGTATAAATTGTAGTGTTTTACATCTCATTTTACAATCAGTTTGCTCAGGTATGAATGACTCGGTGCAAAACAGTAGAATTGGAATGGATGCATTCAGTCTTAGGACAAATCAGCCTATCTTACCTTTCACTATTGTGACAATAGGTGATGTTACCCCAGCTTTAGGTCAAACAGGTAAAGGATAGAAAATTGTGGTGCAGGAAGGAGAATTCTTCTTCTCATTTTGTAGATCCCCAATCTGCTAGTGAGTTACTAACAATGTCCTTCTAGCTAATTATATGCTTGAAATGGAGTTATTGTATATAGCATATGCTGCCACCTATACAATGTTTCAAGCAAATTGACACTGGATATCTGATCAGTAGGTGAGGGAGAGGCAAGGTAGGACAGGGTCTGAGGATCCTTTAAAAAGCTTTTGTTCTCTCTCACACTGTTCTCAGCCATTAGTTTTTGTACTCAGGCAGAAGGAAGGTTTGCAAGGGGAAAAGGGGGAAGAGTAAGTTTCGGTTTCAGAAAAAAATGATTTTCAATATTATGAAGATTTCAGGCAAAGTGACACAATTTTGTGCTCAGAAGTGATGAAAAGACAAAACTTGACAATTTCACTTTTTTTTTTTTTTTTTTTAATGTACCGAATTAGATTTGGTTCAGTTTTATTCCCTCATCAAATATTCTGGCTCCATTGCAAATATTTGTTTGAATGATTAATACCGTGGGAGGTTTTGCAGTATTAGCCCACGGGAGCTCTATCATTGTTATTAATAATAGTATATTGGTATTGTGCACAAAAGCCCCAGTCAGGACTGGGGTTCCATTGTGCCAGATGTACAAACGCATAGGAAGCACCTCTAAGAAGACAAGATAGATAAAGTCATAAACCTCATATAACTAAAATGTCAAAGGTACATATCTTGTCAGTTACATTTTTTTTTAAGATTTCCCCTCAACAATCCCTCCACTTTCTTTTCTTTTTTTTCTTTCTTTCTTAGCTCTCGCAAAGGACAACTCTGATGATTTTATTGCGAGTCTCAGGGTATTTGGTGATTTATTTTTTTTATAAAGCCCTAGTTCCTGTAGTTTTGTGATACTTTTGTTTTTAAATGAAAGAGATTGTTTCTAGTCCTCATGGCTTCAGAGAAGAGCTTGAAAGGAGAACTGATCAGAAATTTTCCCTGTCTGGTTTCATGCCAGTTCGCTTACCTGGCTCCTTGGCAGACTCCCAGCTCTTCAGCCTGGTGGGATGATGGGGAAGCTGAGAGCCCCAGAAATCATAAAAGTGCCAGCTCCTATGCTTCTGGCTCTGCCAGTGCTCCCAGGCTTCCTGGCTCCACTTCAGGCCACCTGGCAAGCTGAAAGGGAATCAGGATGCTGCAATCCCCAGATAACCTGGGAGCCTTGGAGCTTTGGGATCTGGGGCTTCCAGGCTCCTGGCTCCCCTTCATTTTATAGGCAGAATTTCATTTTTAAATCATCTAATTGTTCCAAGTTTGGGGGGGGGAGGAAATATCATTGATTCTGTTACTTGGAGAATTTTGAAATTTTTGGTTTTCATTCCAAATTGGAACAAAACCAGATTTTGAAATTCCATATCCTTCTTGAAAATGTGAATCCCAAAGACCCAAACACCAGAAGGCAAATAAAAAAGAACTCAAAAAGTAAAACTTCTTATAAACTCATTTTTAAATCAGTCTCATGATTTTGGGGGCTGACTAGGGTTTTTTAAAATCTTGGGATTGGTAATACTGAAGTCCTTCCACCTCTGGCCCCTACATGAATACTCAGACAATATAACTACGTTTACCGTATAAGAGAGGGGTGTGATTTTCCCTGCTCTGTACACATACGCCAGCTCTCATGAAGCTAGCCCAAGTATAAATAGCAGTGTAGCATTTCCAGTAGCATGGCTTTGTCATGCCAAGTTTGTACCCACCATTGCAGATGGATTTATGCTCAGTCTGGCTAAGCTGTGCCTCCACTG